TGCAGCACAAGTGTGATCCCTGGCCAGGGAGCTACCCACATGGCACAGCAGACCTCTCGTGACTCACCTGCTTCTCCCCTCTGCAGTGTACCTCAGTCAGTCTTCCTGTTCTGTTCCCCACTCTGTCTCTGGTGAATCCTCTCACCCCCCCACACCTCTGGCCTGTACCCCAGTTCTTGTATGCATAAATAATTTTTTTTTAAAAAGGAGAAATTAGCATCTTTAATATATACTGAGTCCCTGGATACATGAACATATCATTTTCTTCATTTATTAAGACCTTCTTTAAATTTTCTCAGTAAAATTTACTTCTTCACAGTGTAGATGTCCTGCACATCTTTCAATAAATTTATTCCCAGGAATCAGAAGTCTTTGGTTGGATTGTGGCTATTATATTTTTAAATTAATTTTCAATCATTTTCTAGCATTTAGAAATAATTAATTTTGACATTATTTTTATAACTGATAGCATTATTCATGTCATTTACTAATTCTAATAATTTTAGATTATTTTAGAATTTCTATGTGCCTAACAATATATGCAAAGTAGCTTCCATTTCCTTCTTCCAAGCATTTACACTCTGTATGTATTTATTTATGCATTTCTTAGGTTCTCCTGTGTATTGCCTTGACTAGGAAAACAAATAATGATGTTGAACAGAAATGGTGTCCCTGAGTTACCAGTTGTGATGGCAGTGGGCACAGGAAATCAGGAGAAAACACTTCATCACTTCACTATGATATATGTTGGTCAGTGGGGAAATTTTTGCAAAAGATGCTATTACATTAAATAACATCCTGTTATCCTTACTTGACTGACTTTTTAAAAATCATGACTAGGTTTTAATTTTTACTGGATGCCTTTTCTTCATCTTTGGAAATGGTCACATGCTTTCTTCCTTTGTTCTGTAATTATAAATTGATTATCAAATGTTAAATTAATCTTGTATTCTTGAAACAAATTCTATATGAGCACATATGTATTACATTGATAAATCTGATCTACTTTCATTTTCTTTAGGATTTTTGCACCTATATTAATGAGTTTTTTTATCCATTAATTTTCCTTTATGAAATGTCCTTGCCAGATTTTACAATCAAGGTTTTGTTGGCTTCATAAAGCAGATTGATGTGTTGCCACTTTCTCTATATTTTGGTGCAATTTGTATTGCATTAGTGTCATTTTTTTCCCTTAAGTGTTTATGGAAGAACCATTGAAGTCATCTGGGCCTGCATACACACACACACACACATACACACATCTGGGAACAGGGAACTCAACTCACTAAGTGAATTGGAGCCCCCCAAGGTACAGTTGACTTCCAGGGTCTTTCAAAACAGTTATTTCATATTAATGTCTAAATTTTATAGTTGTTTCCAATAAGGGCACTAGTTTGATTCAAGCATGCTTGGACGTGATCTGATGCCTAAAATATTATAGTGTTTTTTTTTTTTGTTTTTGTGTGTCCACTGCTTTCTTTCAACTGCATCTGTGTTTTTTTTTTTTGTTGTTGTTGTTGTTATTATTTCCAGCAAGACTAGGATATTAATTTGCTGAGCATTTACTTTTATTGACAAGATGAAAGAAATTCTTCTCTATCAATGTCACCTGTAACCCTTAACTTGAATTGCAAACAATTAATTGGAGGACAGTGAATAATAAAAAAAAAGGGAAGATTGCAAATATAATGATCTATGAACTCTAATTGTAGTTTCACATCATTAAAGATGGTATATTCTTTGCTAATAAAAACAAAACCTTTTTCTTCATTGGAGAAATAATTTCAAAATGATTTAGAGGGAGACTATGTAGGCTTTTCTTTTCAAAACCTTTTCCCTTTGCAAAGCAGCAGCACTAGCTCTCTGCCCACCTGTATCTATATAGGTGCCCCTTTTTTCATTTCTCTTTTTCCTAATAAAACTGTCCTTTTAAAATGTAAAAAAAAAAAAAAAGGAAAAAGCAAATATAAATGCCTAACAGTTCAACACAGCTTAGAAGTTGTTCAACAACAATTGAGATTCCAAAGATGCAAATTTTCAAGCCTCACTCTAGACCTACCACATTGGAAACTCTGGGGTGGAGCCCAGCCTCTGTTTACCAGGCTCTCCTGGTGGTTCTGATAAATACAATGAACCCTTGCTCATGCTGGCCATCCAGGACCACACTTTGCAAAGTATTGCCCCAGAGAAACAATACCTGGCACATAGAGATGATTAATTGATGTTTATTGAATAGTTGAATAAGCAGATTGATAAAATTAATCATGCTACTTATAGAATGACTTGCAATTTGGAAACAAAGTTCAATTCTATACATAACAGCATCAGAGATGATGGGAGGAAATGTTACATTTATCAAATCTTACACAAGAATTACACACTTGTGAATTTTCCATATCTCTCAAATGTTGACTCCAAAATACTACTAAGGGTTCAAGAGCAGAAACACCCTGGGATTCTGTGTCACAAAACAAAGGTTCTCAATGTGTGGTCCCTGAAACTATCAGTATTGGCATTACTTGGGAACTTGTGAGAAATGTACATTATTTGTCCTCGGTTAAGACTCACTGAATTAGAAACAGAAAATTTACAGACTTTCCAGGGGATTCCAATGCACACAAAACTGAAAATTACTGCCTTAGGATTTGTATTTTAATAAGTTGGCAATGATCACATGAAAAAGTTAATTAAAGGTGGTATTTCAATAGGTATCAAGGAATAAGAAATGGAAAATTCCAAAGTAACTTTCCAAAATATTATGTACAAATGTTCAAAGGAAATTCTCTAAACCAGTTTCACAATTCTTGAAGTATTCAGACAGATTATACATACATACATACACACACACACACATAACTACATACATATTTGTATATGTATATATTTATGCATATATGTAGATCTTAGAATTTTTAGTGTCTGTGTGTGTGCATGTGTGTATTTCTGAGAATTCTGGTGGAGCGGGAAGGTGTGCTTTGAGATTATCTCACAAAGAGACTGTACTCTAAGAATTGGTACTCTAAGAATAAAGGATATGTCGGTCTTTTTCTTGGGCCAGAGGTGGGCCATGTGACAGAATAATAAATATCCAGCCTGGAGTCATCTTGGGCCTAGTCTACTAGAGAGATTTCTGGGGTAAGAGTTTCAGGTATTAGCAAAACACTAATGGCCAGCCCTGGCTTTCTATCTAGGCATTGCTGAAGTTAGGGCAAGCCACCACAAAGATAAGATGCATAGGGTAAAAGAACAATAGATAGAAAGATCCAGTAAAATAAACTCTACAGAGTCTCTGACAGCTCCAAAAGAAAAAATCAACTCTAAACTGTTGTCAAGACTAGGGAGCAAAAAACTAGCTTATGAAACTACCATTTAAACAAAAGGGAATGCTTTCCTTTCCCACTCCAAGCTCATTTTGCTGCAGTTGTGTAGGAGTCAGAGACTATCTGATAAGGAGAGATGAGGGCAGTGAAAGCACAAGGTAGTGAGTGAAACGCAAAAGGAGTGAGCCATGCCCCTCCTTCCACTGCAAGCTTCCAGCAGAGGCAGGTTCCTGATGCTGGAAAGGGAAGAACACTTTATTTATTTATTTTTAAAGATTTATTTATTTATTTATACAAGCACTGGGTACAATCAGAAGCGGAGGAGGGTGAGATAATTCACCAGAGCCAGAGAGGGGAGCAGAACAGGCAGACTGACAAAGTACACTGCTGAGGGGAGCAGCGGGTGCGGCAAGAGAGGTCTGCACACCATGTGGGACCCTAGCTGGTGGCAGGGGATGGAACTGGCACTGAAGAGGCTGCGGGCAGCTTTGCAACCCAGCTCTCAACTGCTGCGCCACTGGGGAGGTCCAGGAAGAACACTTTAATGGTAAACTCAGTGAACTGATATTCTGATGTCTAAATCAGGGCCAGTTTGTAAATTAAAGAGATTCCAGGTTATTTTAGTCCCAACAAAAGTGAGCCCAATTATCATGGACTTGAAGTTTTCGTCCAAGGGCAGAGGAACATTACCAGAACTGAACACATTGAGAAGGATGGTGAGAGACAAAAATAAAGTTGTGTTTTGATTATGTCAGGAGTCGTGCTTGCTCAACATACTGGTTACACACAGATTGAGCCTTTAACAATCTGGTTCTAGTCCAAAAATTCTAAACAACTAGAGCTGAGCCAGCTCTGAGCACGTGAAACCTATATTATAGCAACTCCACCTATGGACCCATGCCCAGATACCCAAAGAAACACTAACTGCAAAATTTAAGTTTAAAATAATTTATGAAGATATGGGGCAATTTGTAATGACAAAGTGACACGATCAATATAGATTTTCTGCTTTTGTTCTCAGTACTTTCTTAATGCAGTAGGTCTGCTGCTTCCAAGCATGTGATGTAGGACAAACCACTAATTCTTCAGCTCTCTCTTCCCTCATCTGTGTTATAGAGGAGTGGGCTGGGTCATTTTTAATGTCAATATCTATGACTTCATAACATCATAGAAAACAAATTAATGTGTGAAATGCACATTTAATTCAGATGCTTGCAATTAGCTTGACGTATGATCTTTAGTAAATCTTATAATTTCTGTAAATTATTGATGTAATTGCTTTACCCATAAAATGACTGTTACTCCTCTGGGGTGGCAGCATAGTGAAGGTGAGTTATCTTAGGCTCTAAAAATAATGGCCTTCAAAAATGTTCATGTTCTAATCCCTGAAACTGTGAACATACAGTCTCACATGGGAAATGGAACTTTGGGGGCCACTCTGGTAGCTTAGGGGTTAAGTTTCAGCACTACTACCAAAATGGCCTGAGTTAATCCCCGGGCCAGGGAGGTGACCCACATGGCTCAGCACACCTCTCCTGTCTGCAAGCTGCTCTCCTCAGCAGTGTATTCCAGTCAATCTGCCTATTCTGCTCCCCACTCTGTCTCGCTCATGCCCTCGCCCACCCCCGGCAGCTCTGGCCTACACCCCAGTTCTACACAAAAACAAAATCTTTTTAAACAGTGCTTGCTTCAGCAGCACATATACTAAAAATGATACAGAGAAGATTAGCATGGCCCCTGTGCAAGGATGACATGCAAATTTGTGAAGAGCTCCATATTAAGATAAACTCATGCCCTTCGCAGCAACGTGGATGGAGCTAGAAGGTATTATGCTCAGTGCAATAAGGCAAAAGGAAAAAGAAAAATATTGGATGGTTTCACTTACAGCAGGAATATAGGGGAACTAAATAAGACATCAGTGTAAAAAAATAACAGTACAAAACACAGCAAAGCAAAAACGGACAATTATAAATCAGAGACATCCTGCAGGGGAGGAGGAGGGAGAGGGATCAGAGGGAGGGAGGGAGGAGCACAGGGGACTGAGGTGATGGTGCACGGGGTGCCTTGGTGAAGGAAACTCTATGGGGACTACACCTGAGGGGGTGGGGGGAAGCAAATATTATTTAAAAATGAACAATGATGTAAAAAAAATAATTAATTAAAAAAAACAAGAAAAGGAACTTTGTCCACATGATTAAAGACTTAGAAATGAGTAGATTATCCTGGTATGTCTAACCCAATCATGCAGGTCTGTGAAAATCATTCCCTGCGGTGGTTAGAGGGAGACAGGACTACTGTAGAATAATCAAAGAGATGCAAAGTTGCTGGTTTTAAAGATGGAGAAAGTAAGGCATGTGTCAGAGAACACAAGTGTCTCCAGAACTAAAAATGTCAAGGGAATAGTGTTTCCTACTTCCTCCAGAAAGCAGCACAGTCCTGCCAATGTCTTGATTTTAGTTCAGTGAGACTCATTCATACTTTGACCTCTAGATAATAAATCTATGTTGCTTAAGCCATTAAATTTGTTAGGGGAGCCAGAGAGAACTAATACAAGTGTGAACATTCTTTTAATGTTCAAAATCCTATGCAAATTCAGGCTGTGCTAGTGACAAAAATATATTCTAAAAGGAGGTGAAATGAACATTAATTAAAAAAAAAAAAAACCTACCAATATGCTACTAAGAAGGGGGGAGTCCCTAATGGTTATCCAGAGAACTGCTCTGTCCTCCACAGCACATACTTTTTCTTATCCAGATGGTATATTCTTTTCTTAAATATCTCATGCACAGAAATTCAGCAAATAATCTTAGTCACCAATTTTTATTACTACAAAATTCATTTTATTTTAATTAGAACAGATTTTTCAAAAGCCCATAATGATTTTATTCTTAGTTGTGCTAACATAAAGAAAAACAAAATTTTCTCTACATATCAATGTGGAAAACTATTCCCACATTAAATAAGTTTTTAGCTAAAGCCAAAATGTAATATTTTCATTCTTGCTTTTAGGTAACAGCTACAATTTATTTTGATATTCAGGCTGTTACCATGATTGAGTATGTGGTGATTACTGCTTGCTACCCTCAAGTTCTAACATCTGTCCACTTATTATTACCACTAATAGGTGGAATCATAATTTAGAATTATAGTCATAGCTTAGAATCCTCTAGAACAAACTCAAAACCTGACCCAGCAGAATAGTTAATACCCTAATTTTTTTCAAGATTTTGTTCATTTTTCCCAGTTGAACTTAGTATATACTTCTTATCAGGTTTAGTTATATGTATGTATATAAGTAAATATATATCTAGTATATATATTAATTACTAAATAAATTACATGGATACATCCATGTGTGTATATACATGTATATGTATATGTATATATTTTATATATGTGTGTGTTCATAGATAGATTGTAAAATTTTCTATGGTAGTCCCTTAGACTATAACTCTTGATTAGGTTAAATATGTCAATGTGGATATATTTACTAGAAATTCTGGATTTTAGTTCCCCAACCCAGAAAGTCAATAATAGCATTGGTGGTTGACTAAACCTGAACTTAATGGTTTCCCTTATTTAATGTTCTTGAGATGCCAGAACTTCCATAAAATGATGTAAAGGAAGAAATACCAGGAGATTCAAGGAGAGAGAAATGTGGAGTGGAATTAACATTCTGGGCTTATATTTTATCACTCCTCACTACATCCCAAAAGCATGCCCAGAAGACTATAGCATCACTAAGGCATTGAGAAATGCATTAATGACAAAGGCATTAATAGCCTTGGTAAGCAACATGAGAGCTTCCCTTTCTAGATGGTGCATAAGCACTGGAAGTAATTCCTTGATTTCAAAGATCCCAGAGGAACAAAAGATGACTGGCAGCATATTACCACCAAGGACAAGGTAGGGATACTTACCGTTAATAAACAGGAAGGATGCAACAGAAATCAGGTTATTTGAACCTCTTTTTCGAGGTTGTTAATTATGATGCCTTGGTGAACAAAATAGATGGTGGTCTAAACAAATATTCCTTCATCCACATATAAAATAAAAACTCCATTTCTGGAGATTTTTAATGCCATGATGGAGAGTCATGGATAGTAGCCACTTCACAAACCTGGAGTCTCTTCATTAATGGAGGAATCCCTTCTCTTTAAGGCTGGGTCTGCCACACTGCCACAAGTATAGTAGAAAATATTCCTTCAGATCTTCTCCAAAGGAGTATGAGGACTTTAATGTAGGGAAATTGAAATGCTTACCATTTATCACAATATGTAGACATTATATTTGATCACCATCATTTTTGGAAATCTCAGTGAGGACAGTGATCTACAAATTAGTTATTAGCCAATGGAATTTAGGCGTGAGTTTTGGCCCAAGTTTAAATTAAAGTAACCTCAATATTTATATCAATTCAAAATTCTAATCTATTTCCCACTCCTTGAATGAATAATAGTGAAAGAAAGAGCAATGTGAGAATGCACAGGGCATCTCTCTGGTTGAAGGCTATTTTAAAAGGAAAAACTAAATGGAAGTCCTGGAATTTCCTTTCCTTTAACAGAATAATAAAAGAAAAGCCATACCACATTCCCATAAAAATTACTAAGTTTAGGGCTTCCCTGGTGGCATAAGGGGTTAAGCATTGCACTGTGAAGCAATCCACAGCCTCTGCAGCACGAGTTCGATCCCCGGCCAGCCAGGTAGCAACCCATATGGCGCAAAAGACCTCTCCTGACTCGCTGGCTGCTCCCCTCAGCAGTGTACTTTGGTCAATCTGCCTGTTCTGTTCCCCACTGTCTCTGGTGAATCCTCTCACCCCGCCTCCGCATCTCTGGCCTGTACCCCAGCTCTTGTATGCATAAATAAATAAATCTTTAAAAAATTACTAAGTTTAGTTTCATCATCAAAACCAAGAAATATTATTGAGTATGTTCCCATTTGTTGTTTCTGTTTAGCCATGATGGAGGGAGAAGGATCCCCAGGAACAAGTGACATTATCACAAATATAATTAGATGACAACTCTAAATGGATTTGCTATTCTAGATAAAGCCAGGTAATTTTAGGAGCAAATAAACATGGCTTCTGGCACCTAGAATGCAGCTATTTAATTAGAGAATATATTTTTTTCCCTCTATATTACTTTGTAAGATCTATCCATCAGAGGCAAATTGAATTTACCCCACAGTTTATCTTCACAAACTTGCTTCCTGGCAACATGAAATCTCTTACTATTATCCATAATATAGTCTACAGAAACCTTGAATGTCTTAACAATGTCTGCTACACTGATGACACTGTATTGATTAGGTCAGAGGGAAAGACAAGGTCAATTTATTCAGCTGTTTTAGTAAGAGGCATATAAGTCAGTTGGTGGGAGATGAACTTTATGAAGACTCAGGGAAACACTATCCTTGTGAAATTTCTTAAGTTCCAATAGCCTGAAGTGTGCTAAGAGACAAGTTGCTTCATCATGCACTGATACCATTGACTAGGAGTCACACTCCCTAGAGGGACTTTACACAAATTGCTGTTCTGAAGCCCATCAATTGTCCAGAAATTTCTCCTTAGTACTTTGCATTTCATTTTCCTGGTTTGGTGTCTGTCTACCTGTTTCTGTGCTCAGGGGTTGATCTTGAAGTTCTCTAGCAACTACCATTGGTCTAAAAGTGGCGTGGTTCCCAGGACTGCAGGAGGGACCTGCTGCGAGCTTTGGAGGTGTGTGTAGCAGTAAGAAATAGTCACCCTTAGATCCCTGATTCCATGCCCTTGTAGCCATGTCTCCAAATCCACATGTCTAATAATTCCAGCTTCTTCCCTTTGTTCACCCAGTCCTAGGGATGATGTTTCCTCAGTCACCACCTCTGCCATACCTTACAGTCCCCTTATTTTTTAATTAAATTCCCTGGTATCCAGATTATAATACATTGTATTAAATTATTTTTGTTAAAGATAGGAGATTTTGTTTCTGCCTTCTGGTTGGAACTTGACTAATATTAAAGTTTGTGAATTTAACTTTACTAATGGTTTCCTGACCATTGCCTACTTAGAAACCAAAGTAGGAAAATATTTCTAGAGAAAAATGTGGGATGATTCATTATTCATGGTATTAGAAAAACCCAAACCACTTAATAATGATATTTTATGAACAAAATTATTTCACCTAACATCTTTGATGCTGTACACATATATATAAATAAAATTTCATCACCCCACAGTGGTTCAGAGAACACATTTACATTTTTATTTGATCCTATGTTTTACTATAAAGTCCCCTTAAGCCATTCCTAACTTTAAAAATCCAAACTTCAGTTCTCCAGAATTTTGACACAACTGGGTCTCCTTTTTCCTTTGTACCAGTGACTACAAATTCTCTGAGCCAATAAACAATAATATTTTCATCATCTGAATTGTCCCTTTGTAGCTCCCAGGCTAGAAAAATAAGATGTAATTGTAAATACCTTTGTTTCCATGACTTAGAACATCTCTCAGAAGGTCTGAGGCTTTATCCAATCTCAGAATGCTTCAGATTTGGGGAGTAGATAAAGGTGATTGGTAAAATATTACTTTTAATTAATTCCAAGTAGAATTTTATCATGTCTGTGTGGTATAATATTGCTTGAATGATTGTTGTTTAGTGTTCTCAATGCTATGATCTCTAAAATAAGAGGATGTAGCTCATCTCTTAGCTTTAACATCCCTTTCCCCAAGATTCTCTTGCCTGGCTCTCATGGACAAGGGATGATACTGCCTAATAAAACAATGGCTGAACTCCTTCCAA